CCTCGCAGAGGCGCGGAAGCCACTCGAGAAAGGATGGACCTTCCGAAACGGCGTCGACACCATCGAGGACCAGCAGCGCCTTGGCATCGAGGAAAGGCCTACGACATACAACATGTAAAAATGCAACGTCGCGGTGTTGGTACAGATCGTCTTTGGCAAACCACGCCTCAACGTCGGCCACGAGCTGCCGCGTGACGTCCAACGATGAAAGGATGAGGAACACCTTGGCGTTATCCTCGCAGAGGCGCCAAAGCGCACGCATGTTGAAGGACCAGAGCCTCATCGCGCATGCCATCAAGCCCATCAACCCCGACAAGACGTATGTCACCTAGTGCCGCCCCAACTTCCGTGCTGACAGCGCCCAGGGCAACAACAGCGATAGCGATGACGATGACATGTAGACAAGAATGCTGTAGCGAGGCGACAGAAGCTGCCTATAATCGCACAAATATCTAGCATGTTCTATGTCTTCGTCTTTTCCGCCCCGATTCGACCCACTTGACGACAGAACTACCATAGACGAGCCAATATGGCTCTTGCGCAGGTGTAAAGGCGGGTTTGGGCACCTTATCTCGTGTGCGAGGACAAAATCAAGTGAAAGTATGCAGTGTGTTGATATGGGGCTTTTACGCGTCGACATTTACTAGTACCCATGCTTGTCCGTAGTGATTGGACCCTGGATCCGAGCCAATATGGCTCTTGCGCAGGTGTAGAGGTGGGTTTGCTCACGTACAACTCGCAGTGCGAGAACTAAAGCACGAGGCAAAGTACCGTCTAAAAGACACTTTTACGACTCCACGTGTACTCGTACTCGTGCTTGTACTCGTGCTTGTCCGTAGTGATTGGACGCTGGATCTGAGCCACGGAGGCCCTGGAGCTCGAGTACAGGTGGGCTTGCACACGTGATCGTCTACCGCAGGGAGTACCCTTGTGGCTACAAGCTGACCTGGTTCCACTCGCCCTGCGCGTCGGCTCGTTGAGATGCACAAACAACACCGAAACGATTATCACCCCTCGACCTTGATGCGTGAATGCACGTTATCCACTTTTCTTTGTCTTGCACAGTCGTGGCGATGGATAAGGAGTCTGTCCTCTGGCCTTGAACCATTTATATATGAACGTGTTTCGCGTTATCTTCGTTGTTACAAAGAGTTGGCATACGTAGAGACTAGCAATCTCCTTCTTCTTCATTCGCTCGCCGGGCCGTGGCTGCGCAGCCTTGAACCATTTGTAAGTAAAAATGATAGACGGCGTGGTCACTATGACAAATGACCGTGTGATATTTTTATCTACTCGTCGTCGTCCTCCTCGTCATCATCATCCTCCTCGTCTTCCGACTCGGAGAGCTCGCCCGCGACAATGCACGAGTCCTTGAGGAGCAAGCAGTCGACCGACGAGCCGGCGACGGCGCCACGGAGCGTCGTTGGCAGCGTGACTTGAATGATGTAGTCTTCTTCGCCGCTGTTGATGCCCCATCGATGGAGATTTGTCGGCTCCGTGGCGCTGTAGACTTGGAGAAGCGCCTGTTCCGTTTGTTCGTGCGCAGGGCGACCGGCGCAACAGCAGCCGACGTGAGCTTCAAGCCTGCCGCGACAGTTGCATCAATCCGCTCCGACTGGATCGGGACGTGGTTGACCCAAATGTTGACAAGGAACGTCACACGCAGCCCCTCGGCGTCTTCGTCGACTTCAGGAAACGCCAGCGATGACGGCGCGCCGTGGAGGAGCTCGCCGTCAAATGTGATGTGCTTGCCCGCGATCGGCCGGCTCACAATGCACTTGGTAAGCGGCCCTTCGATCGACGTGCCGTAGGCAAAGGTCCCGCGCTTGTCGAGGATGACGGTCGGACCCGCGTTCACACAGAGGTACGTGACGGTGCCGACGAGCGGGTGGACATGCTCCTCGTTGTCTTCCTCCATGCCGTAGTCGCGGTCCCAGTGGAAGCCAATGTTGTCGCGGTGGTCAATGTGCTGCGTCCACCACTCGGCGCCCGACGTGGCCGGGTCAAAGCTGAGGCCGTCCGTGTGCAGCGCAAAAATCTTGAGTGCGAGCGCCTCCATGCCGCAGCTTGGCGCGTCGCTCGCACGCACAAAGAAGGTCGAGCCAAGGCTGTAGTTCTCGCCGTCTTCGACCTCGCGGCACGTAAAGCACGTCTTGCAGTCGGCGAGGAGGTCATCGTGCTCGGCCGGCGAGAGGGCGCCGAGGAGGTCTTGAAAGCACTTGAACTTCATCTCTGCCCCAAGATCTGTGCCTTGGACAAGCGCCGTCTTTCGCTTCTTGGATGCTGCGGGCGTGGTGGAGCTCTTGGTGCGCTTGCTCGGCATGCTGCTTGGTGGTGGAGGTTGCCTTTCTACCGGTACAAGAATGCCACCGCCCGTGTTTATGCACCAATCACCGCTGCGACTCAACGGTCCCGGCCGTTTGATTGGTCCAGTAAATATGGCTTTTCTGGCGTTATGCCAAATGTAGCACGTTATCTACGGCGCCGCGGCCATCTTGCAATTAAAAAAATACAAACGGAAAGCGACTTGGCCTCCACGTGGCGGAATAAAATGAGGCGGACGCTAGCCGCACGCAATTTTTGGCGCGAACACACGTTGCCGCACCGCAGTTGCTGCCTGGGTGACGACGACTCGATGCCCGCACCAACCTGAAGCAAACACTTCATGCTAACCGACGAGATGCAATTCCTTGCCCGGCTCCTCACTATATACAGTACTACTTGTACGCTTGCACAGTCTCGACGTCAACGCAGTCTTCTCCCGTCGCACCGCCGTCAAGATCCAGATCGGTCGGCCTCTTCAAGATTGCCACGCTCGCTGTGTAGCAGCACATCATCTACATGCCAATTGACACCATGCTAACGCTACCCGCAAAGGTTTCATGGCTACCTCTCTTGCCCGTGTTGGAGCCAACGAAAACAAGTTTGATTCCCTTGGTTGAAGCCGTCGGCAGCTGTACCTTCGTTCCATCCTTGGTCGCTGCATTGATGGGCAATACTACGTTGCAAGATGCGCCATGCCTGTACTGCGCCTAGACTTCATATCTTTTATGAGTTGGGAAGGATTCAGACTCAGCAAGCGAGTCGCGACTCTGCCGCGGTATAAGCCGCGGCAAAATGGCGTGCGAATAGACGCATGATAATAATAAAAAGGCAGTGGTCCCCGGGGTTTCACTTGCGTCTATCTTCGGCGAGCATGATGGAGCCGGCCTCGGAACCGCCGGCGACCGCCGACCGGACCTCGACGACGTCGGCGCCGGGCGACGATGGCATGTACGTCACGCGGAAGCGGTCGGCCTTCTCCAAGTGGCTGCATGGCAAGGGTATCTCGTCGTCGGCCAAGCACCCGGCGCCCGTCTTCCGGTCCGCCGACGTCATCCAGGAAGGCTACATGCTCAAGCAAGGCTCGCGCTTCCGCATGTGGACGAAGCGGTACTTTATCTTGCGCTTGGAAGAGAAGCACATGACGCTCGGCTACTACACGTCCAAGGAAGAGCTCATCTTGTGCTCCGAGACGCCGATCGGACCCGGCCATGCGCTTCTCGACTTGAGCAAGGACGGCCGGTTCCGCTTGGAGCTGCGGAGCGGAACGCGCTCGATGGTGGTCGAGATCGAGCTCGAGGCCGACTATGTCAAGTGGAAGAACGCGCTCCAGGAAGCCGTGCGATGGCACCAGACCATGGTCTTTGACGGCGCCAACAAGGTCACGTCGTATGGCAAAAAGTGCATTGACGACGAAGCAGCGGAAGCCGAAGCCCGTCTTGCGGCCGCCAAGAAGCAGCGCGAGACCGCGGCCAAGAAGGTCGAGGACGCGGCGACGGCCAACGCCAACAAGCCCAAGTTCCTCCCCTCGACGCGCAAGGGCCATCAGTGCTTTACGGTCTCCAACACGAAGTTTGAGATCCCACTACAGTACACGTACTCCAAGACGATTGGGTCGGGCGCCTACGGCGTCGTGATCGCCGCCGAGTTGGACCGACCCGCCGACGTGGATGGCGCCTCGAACCTTGTCGCGATCAAGAACATTCAGCGCGCGTTCGACGACCTCACGGACGCCAAGCGCATCGTGCGCGAGATCAAGCTCATGCGCCATCTGCAGCACAAGTCCCTCCTGGGGATCACGGACATTCTCGAGCCCGTGAGCTTGGACGCGTTCGAAGACGTCTACATTGTCTCGGAGTGCATGGCCACGGACCTCCACCGCGTCATCTACTCGCGCCACGCGCTCTCGGAAGAGCACATTTGCTTCTTCTTGTACCAGATGCTCGCGGCGCTCAAGTACATTCACTCGGCCAACGTAATTCATCGCGATCTCAAGCCGAGCAACATTTTGGTGAACGCCAACTGCGAGCTCAAGATTTGCGACTTTGGCCTTGCCCGCGGCGTCCAAGAGGACTTGGAGCTCACGGAATATGTCGTGACGCGCTGGTACCGCGCGCCCGAGATCATGCTCGGCTGCATCAAGTACACGCACCATGTCGACGTGTGGAGCCTCGGCTGTATCTTTGCCGAAATGCTGAGCCGCAAGCCGCTCTTCCCCGGCCAAGACTACATTGACCAACTGCATTTGATCATGAACGCGCTTGGTGTGCCGACCGACGACGAGCTCTACTTTGTCACCAACATGCGCGCCCGCAAGTTTATGAACACCGAGTACCACACGCGGGTATGTCTTGCAACCTTTCTATCGTTGCGTTGAGGCTCATGGGATGATTCATGGTGCTAGGGCCGGGAACCGCTCAAGCCATTGAATGCCCTCTTTGCCGACATTGCGCCGGACGCCCTCGACTTGCTCGAGAAGATGCTCGTGCTGGACCCAAACAAGCGCATCCGCGTCGACGATGCACTCGCGCACCCGTACTTTGCGTCCATTCGCCAAGTCGAGGACGAGACGGTCGCGCCGTCCGTGTTTGACTTTGAGTTTGAGAAGGAAGACCTCAACAAGCGGAGGCTGCAGGAGCTCATTTGGGGCGAAATGCGCCACTTTCATCCGGCGCCGCAAGGTGTCGACGAACCTTTCCTCCAAAAAACAACCAACAACACGGACGACGTGAAGGCGGCCATGTAGCCGCCTCGAACCAACATGGGTGTAACACTAGGCGTACAAGGCTTTATTTCCGTCGTGTGTGCTTTGTTGTTGTTGTGCGACCGTCAAGTTGGCGCGATCTGGGGAGGCAAGTCGACTCTTGCATCAGCCCTTACCGTCCTCGCCGATGAACGCAGAGATTTGAATCGTACATCCACGGGTGCTACTGGACCCTTGGTAGAATGAAAGCCGTGGGGTTGATCGAATACTACAATTGTAATGGTTTGAGCTACAGCGATAACGTCATGTTAAAAGTGCGTCTGGTCAACAGCGACATTTGCACTTTCTCTAGTCAGTCCTTCCAAGGAGGTATGCGGTCGTGATACTTGGGAGCTGGCGGTCGCTGAGATCAAAATGCATCCGCTTTGGGACGAGCCAAGCAGCGCCGCGAGCGACGCAATCGCCTTGTCGGAGAGCCACCCGCCAAGGCCATACAGTTGGCTCACATACCCTAGCCTTCTTGGCAGTACCGGTAGTTCAGACTAGTAAAAGGGACGTCAACGCAGTGGCAAGGTTGATACTTTTGCCGTCGCTTGATACTTCAAGCGAAGATCGAAGGACCTCGGCGATGTTCTCCGCCATGTAATTGGCTGAAATCCCTATAGTATTCACCAATCCACATGGGCGAATGGCTGCGTCTTCCAATGGCGCGATGCCATTGGCCGAAAAGAGTACAATTCGATTTACCGACTGAGGATGGCGATGGTGCATGAGCTCGAGGAGCTCCGGGTCGGCCTCGCGGAGCTCACGGACTGCGTCTCGTGCATCTTGCACACGATCTTCTTCACGCGGTCGCCGGGCCCCGTGCACCCCGCGGACGCCAACTGCCGCTTCCGCCCCGTGACGTACGCCTTTGTGCCCGACGTCAAGAAGCAAGTCGAGACGGCGATTCTGCAATTTACGCAGCGCAACATGCGCCGGCAGTCGGGCACGAACAGCAACATCACCGTCATCTTTTACGAGACGCGCAAGAAGTCGGCCATGTTCAACTTGTACGCGACCGAAGACCGCGTCGTGTGGGAGAAATGGGTCCTGCCGATCCGCGTCCTCGTGCACCCGCCGGCCAACCCGGACGACTATTGCACGCAGCTCGAATCGCAGCTGCGCCACTCGATGCTGCACGTCATCATGACGGTCCAAAAGGAAACACAGCACATTCCCACGGGCATGTACGACTTTGACCTGATTATCAACGATTTTTAACACGACTGTACTTTCTTTAAATTCTCTATAACGTTTTGCCTCCAAGTATGGAAGCGTCTTGGCCTTGAATAGCTACCGTCAGTAGCTTGTACATGTGTAGAGGGCTGCTGCGTGTCAGTGGCACACGCAAGCACCACGAGTAAAGGCGACGTGTGCTTTCTTGAAGGAGAATGTGACACGGCAAGTACGTTAACGCCCGCGTGCGTCCTTGGCGCATGCACTGAACGTCGAGATAGAGTAGCCAGAGTCGTTGGTTGACGAATATTCACAACACATCAATGTTTCAATGTTGCTCGAGTAATCGGGCGACTGTGACGCCGCACGTGTGTTCGAGGGGAGGTGTCGCCCTCTCGCCCATCGCGGTTCGTAACTATACACAACAACTTGACCATGCAATACGAGGAACACCGATCGGCCTACATATTTGATAATGAGCGGATGGGCTGGCAATACTGTCTGTGTCTTGAGGCTGGCGGCCTCCGTGAGCTGGAGGGGGTTCATGTGGTGCTACGCTCGCGGTTAGTTGAGAACATGAAAAGAGAGGCGGACGTTATTTTCAATTTCCATGTCGGCGCCATTCGTGACCATGATGCGTGTGAGCTTGAGATGACCGTAGAACGCAGCGTAGTGCAGAGGCGCCAAGCCCTCGAGCTAGGTCATTGCCATATAAAAAATTGATCCAACATTCGGTGCCAGCAGCTACCCGGTCGTGGAGGTCCAAGGAGGCACCGGCCTTGATGAGCACCTCGGCAACATCGTCGCTGCCACTAAAACACGCCCAGTGCAATGGCGTTCGACCAAGCTACAATCCCATCGTTGTAGCTGATCATGTCGTGAGGGCAAAGTTCGTACATGATCGGCTTCGTCGGGAAATTGACCCTTGTCCAAGCACCAGCGCATGGACGGTACGTCGTTGATCTTTGCTGCTTCGAGGCACAGCGGAAACGTCGACGGTGGGTCGGTCACGTCGCAAGCCACTTTGTCAGCTTTACCCCGCAAGTACCGATGGGCCCTTGTTGCGTCCATGTTGTCTTGGACAAGTTGTCTGTAAAAAACAATTCCAGGCAGACCCTGCGCACTCTAAGCGCAAATCTGGGTGATGCAATCGAGGTACGTACGCAGAGTGTGAGGAGGTAGAGACCCGGGGGGATGCACGCAGCGATAAAGAGCGGGAGCGGACGTGACGGTGTCACGAGGTAGACACCGAGAAGCGCCAACGACGGCGCGACGACACAAAAGACGCGAATGACGCGGCTCTTGACACAGCACAGTAGACACATGAGCGTCGTCTCGATCCGCTCGGCGTCTTCGGCCGTCGGGCCATCCTACGTCCATGCACGTGGTACCGCGCGGCTGGACTGTCTTACCTGTGTCATCGCTGGCGGCTAAAAATAGATCATGTCTGATCGGCAGTGACGTGGCAGCACGAGACATCATTGTCGTGCATGCAATGTACGAGTAGGCCTGCAACTGTGTTGTTTGCTACTTTGTACATGCGAGCGAGGATTTCCGCGTAGCGAATTGTCGTCATCCATAGCCATGCATCGGTGTCGTCGAGGTAGCGTCGAATCTGCGGCGCAAGATGTGGCCGCAACACCAGCGTCGCCTTGCAACAATGTGGAACCCATGCTCGGATCATTTCCATCAGGTCAACCCTTGCGCCATGGGTCGCAACAGTACCATATATGCAAACACATTGCATATAGATAGATGCTAATACCGGGTACGAAGGAAGAACGCTAGAAATGGTTTGCGAACTCTCTCGTGTCGTGTGTAAAACGTGTCAAATGTGCCTTTGCACGGATTTTTCACGTGTTTTCCACGCCTGCAGGAACACTCGAGGAACCTTCCCCACCCAAGCCATCACACAACCACACAACACATTTTGACGACCGACAACCGAGCGGCAATGTGGCCGCTGCCGCCGGTCGCGCTGCAGATTCTGGACTGCCTCGACGACGCCGATGACGCGTTCGCCTTTCTCCAAGCGGCGCCCAATGATTGCCTCGATGACGCGCTGGACGCGCTCCGGGCGCTCTTGGCCATGGGCTTGGCTCTTCCAGTGTGGCCCACGCCGCACGTCCGCGGTCTGGTCAAGGCATACAACGCCAGTCCCAGCGTCGTTATGATGGCGCTTCCTCTCTTCAAGAAGATTACTTTTGGCTTCTGCGACAAGCCTTCGATCATTGGCCATAACACGGTGCTGGCACCGACGACCGCTGTGAGCGCCAACGTTCAGCTTGACGACTTCGTCAAAGTCCGTGCCGCCCTCGGCAACTGGCTTCCGAACCTCGCGCATCTCAGAGTCTATACCCGGCACACTTATGGCTTGGTGCCTACCACCAAGGACGACCTCGCGACATGCCGTGGCCTCCGTTCGCTGGCCATCCAACACAGCCGAAGACTTGACCAAGACGAGTTTGATGCTGCGCTGATGGCTGTCGTCGCAGCTAGCGCCCAGATCGAAAGTGTGTGCGTTAGTGCGACCAGACACTCGTATATCTCCGACTGCACGTCGCTCCTCGCGTGGCTGGCGTTGCCGATGGCACGACATCTCGAGCTCAACTGCATCGACTTTCACGGCGACCTCGGCGCAGAGCTGGCGACGACCATGCTCACGTCGAGCACTCTCGAGAAAATCCACCTCTTTGGAGCCCCAAGCCTCACGCGCGCGCTTTTGAGTCCATCGTCGCCACCGCTGCCGCCGCAACTGCGCCACTTGGCGATAATCGTCGACAGGACGGAAGTACGACTCTGATTCGTCCGACGACGACAACGATAACATCGATCCACCACCGGCATTTGACGAGGCGGACGCGACCGCCCTCGCCGCCAAGATCGCCACCTCGCGTCTCCACACCTTGGAGTTAGCGCCGCGAGCGTCCTGCGATGTCACGTCAGTGGCGTCCGTCTTGCCGCAGGTACCGACGTTGACCAAGCTTGCGCTCCAGGGGGCGCATCTAACGGCATTCCCGCCTCTCCGTCATCTCTGGCACCTCGATCTATTCTTGACGACGTTCTCGGACGAGGCCATCGCGTCGCTCGCGGCACTGCTTGGTTCGTTGCCAAAGCTGGTGCATCTCGATCTCGGCTAGGACCCGCTTCCGGACGGTCAAGTTCAAACGATCTTGCGGGCGCTGCCGCAATGGCTGAGCCGTCGAGGAACAGCATGCGACGTGCGTCTGGCTCTGGCAAGCGATGCGAGTGTCAGTGCCTTCGCCACGGCACTCGCTCAGACGCGCAATTCGCACAGAGTCAAGATTATGATTCATGATTGGGATCTCTCGCTCGCAGCCAAGAACAACTGCTCGCGGCGCTCAGAGCAACGTCGCGGATGGCAATGGTCCTCGCTGGTACACAGTGTTCTGAGGAGGCCGCGCTGGAAGCTTACGGTCGGCAGCAGCACTTGACGACGGCGCATCGCAAGGAGTGCCCGAACACGGCCAAGGAGTGCTGGTTTTTCTCGCCACGTTCAACGACCAACTAGATGTGCGTGTAGTAGAAACATAATAGTTTTTAACTCAACTCTGTGCGCTCCCGCGTTAATAGTCACATTCCATCTCGTCACAACTAAGGGAATAAACAATTCCCTTGTCACAACCTATCAAGCGGATCACGAAAACTTTCAAGAACCAGAGGATTCATTTGTTATCTGTCGCCAAGGAGCCAATGAATGACACGATCGACTAGGACGTCCGCGGCACGATCGTGAAGGTGAGATACCACGACGTGTTTTACCCGCAGGGGTGTCTCAAACCTCTCGAAAAATACGTGCAGATAACGCCAGGCAACAAGCATACCGGTACCGGTTTGTGTGTTTGGCGAAGATGTGGTCTAGAAACTGACATTTATTTCACGTAGGACCAGCCTGTTTCGCGTTCAACCTCGATCCCGCCGTGCTTTGTCGCATGATCGACTACTTGCAGTACAAGATCCCGCTCTTTGAAGGTCTGAGCCGTTCCGAAGCAGTCACGGTCTCGGCAATGGTTCAAGACTTGGGTCTGCGCCTTCCAGGAGTGCAGTGGGACCCGGGATACTGTGGCCCCAACTTCGTCCTCTCAGACGAATGCTGTTGCGCTTCGATCTCGACTTCAGGTCTCCCAGGAGAGCATGTCTTTTCCCAGCGTCTTCTTGCGGTGCAGCCACTAGATGCGTTCACGATCGGTATTGACGTGAGTTTTGTCGACATGGTCATGCCGGACTGTGGACTGCATCTCGGCTTTGCGTCGCGCTTTGGCTGCGCTGAGTACGTGATCTCGTTGAAGAATTCATATGGATGCACCCGCAACCACAAAGTGATTACTGTAAAGCTGGACCGTGCGGCGCTGCAAGTGACGATGACTGGCTATGGGTTGGGAACAACGAGCTGCCGCTGTCCGGGCATCACGGATGGTGAGCTGTACCCTTGCCTTGTGTACCGCCCATGTGGATTGAACCATGCGACCTACTTTCAGGCGCGCCTATTTGCCGATTGAGTGCTCTTGTTGCGGTCAGTAATACAGAAAACACGTTCAAATGTACTAGTATTCATTGACACAAAATCCCGCTTTTCTGCGAAGATCGCAAATGCTGAGCCACGATTGGCTGCATTCCTGTTCTATTTTAGCCAATCCGCGTCGCATTAGCAACGGGAAAGTGCAAGTCGAACGCCAAGATGCGGTGGGCAGCGGCCATCGCCGCCTTGACATGCATCGACGCGCTGGCGCCGCGCATGGCCATCTCGGGCTGGACGACCTACGCGAATACATCGCTCGATTGCCATCCCAGTGCGCCAGACACCCGCTGCATCAGCGCCGCCCTCTACGAGACCATGGCCGACGAGCTCGTTCAGGAACGCTACGTCGACGCTGGCTACCGCTGGATCGACATCAACGACGGCTGGGCGGCCACCACGCGCGACGCATCAGGCCGATTGGTCGCAGATGCCACTCGCTTTCCACGTACAACGCTTCCACGCTTCTCCTCCATGTCCTAATTGTGCTGCTGTAGGCGGCCTGGCGGGCGTGGTCGCGTCAATCCAGTCGAAAGGGCTCGACGTGGCAGTGGGCCTCGAGCTTGGTCCAACCACGTGCAAGCGTACGTGCCTCTATTATGACGTAACAAGCCATGCGCGCTCATGCGATGATTGATGCGAGTAGACATGGCGGGGTCCGAAGGCCATTACCAGCTCGACGTGCAGACATTGGGCGCCGCCAACGTCACGCGGCTCCGCGTCCACGCGTGCTCGATTGCATCGGCGTCCTCCAGCTTTTACTTTCGCCTCTCGACGCTGCATGCAATAGCCAAGCGCCATGTCCCACCGCTGGAGCTCGACTGCGTCTTGGATCAGTTTCCCGTCAACGCGAGTCTTGTCACGCCGTATTGCGCAACGCTGACGACCCAGCCGACGCTACCCGACAACTGGGCGGCACTTCAAACCCGTCTTCGCGCGCTTTTGGCGCTGCCACCGGCAGACATGATTGCGTATCACCCTGGTTATCCACCTCGACATGCACGGTATTTGTACTCACAAGGTGCGTAGGCGGCTTGGTCGTTGGCGGCTATGCGCTGACAGAAGGGCAGAATCGACTTCAGCTTAGCGTGTGGCTGCTTTTGCATGCACCGCTTGTCGTCGACATGGAGCCGTGGGCCCTCTCGAATACTACGCGCGCGCTGCTGCAACAACCGCTCGTGACGCAGCTGACGCTGGAGGCCACGATGCCGTCGCTGCCGGTATGCTGACATTTGTTTGACGGGTCTTAACATTTTTGTGCGATAGGAGCTTCTAGGGTCGTTGGCCAACGGCATTCAAATCTGGCGACGCGCGATCGTTTTGCATGGAAAGGCGATGACGCTGCTGCTCGCCTTGCGTCTCGACGTGCAAGAGCCGCAGTACACCGTACCGCTGGTCTTTGAACTGAGCGACGTGGTGGGTAAAGCGTGCGACCGCGCGATTCTCCACCATGTCTATGGAGAGAGCCCGTCGGTCTCGATCAAGTACCGGTTCACGCTGGAGATTGCACCTCTCAATGCGTATCTGGTGCTCTTGGAGCCGACAACACGCTAACAACGTGTTGGCTTACCGTACAGAACAAGGTCCTCCAAGTTTAATTGTATTGAGAAATGGAGCGTCAATGAAATTTTTTTGTCCCGTGCGATTTTGGAGCGTCCTGGTGCACGACTCGTGTAGCATGGCATGCTTTTTCACGAGTACACCCGTAGAAGTGGTCGTTGTCAACTGCCATTCGACATTCCCAGACAAGAACGAACAAGGTAGTTGCCAAGAATTCTCTTGTTGGTTGTTGCCCACTGAACAAATCAATTTTCATTTGTCGACTTGCGCAATCCAACATGAGCAGTGGTCAAACAATCGTGCTCGACGTGGGTGGGACGCTCTTCAAGACGCTCAAGACGACGCTGCGGCTGGTGCGAGACTCCCGCTTCGACGCCATTTTGTCTGGCGCGTGGCGGCCGCAGTACGACGGTACCGATGCGTTCGCCGTCGTCCAGTGCTTTACAATTGTGCATTTTCATTGTGTTTAGAAAGCTACTTTGTGGACATGGACCCAACGTACTTTGGCCGCGTTCTCAACCACCTTCGCTGCGGAGCGCCGCTGTACGCAGGTCTGGAGCCGCGGGAGGTGGCCGAAGTCGACCGACTCCGCATGCTTCTGCGTCTCGACATTACAGCAACACCGTCCACACCAACGACACCGTCCACACCAACGACACCGTCCACACCAACGTGGGACGATGCTTGGTGCGACGCGGGTCTCTTGCTCCTTGGCCGTGAGCGTGCTGTGGCCTTCGAGTCTGCGGTATGGACGATGTGCTACGTGCGGACCATGCAGCCATGCGACCAGTACTGCGTGCGTTTGACAGCGAGCGGGAGCAAAAGCGACGTGGCCCTTGGCTTTGCAACGTTCAACGACACTCTATCGAAGAATGTAAACCTGCGGTACAGCATGACCGCCCACTGCTCGCATGATCAGCCGTTCAAGCGAGACGAGGTCCGAGGAAACTACTTTCACGGCAACAATTCTCGCAACCACACCCTTCCTCCCAATGTCGATCTCCTCGTGACGTGGCGTCGCGAGAGCCACACGTATTGATCACGTGCGATGCCGTATTTTTCCATTCGCTTTCCCGCGACGGATTTCCCAGGCGAGCTACCGGTATACCCCGCCGTAGGGCTCTTGCCAGTGAGAGAGCCGTCGGAATTGGTCGTATGGTCGCACTACGAGCCCGGGCCCCTCCGCAACGCAAGCATTGAAGCTTGCTTGAAGCCACTGCCGGGGTCCGTTTTGCACGAGTACAATAAGTCGTGACCCATCGATGCGACACTGAAGCGCTTAACGGCCCGGTGACTGGCCTCGACGTGGCAGCACGATATGTCGTTAATACAAAACACTGGTGATGAAGCCTCTGTGTGTCGTGTTTGGCTGCGGCCGCTCGACAAGGCGAGGCAGCAAGTCGCGGTAGCTAGCGCAGTGTGCGGTATTATGTTCAAACAACTACAGCTACAGGATCATTTCGGCCAGTACGCCGTAGCACCATGCCTTGATTTCGACCCGCGTGCTGCAAAAGATGAAGTCTACATCCAAGCGCTCCTCTTTGATGATTGGCTTGAGCTACTGTCCACGTCTGACTCCCCTATGAATGTCTATCGCCGCGGCTTCACGTGCCGGGACTTTTGGAATAGAGATATATTGTCAATCACATACTAGTAGCGCCCTTTCTAGGACCGGTTTACCCTAGTGAGTGCACCTTTGAATGCGTACCACGTGCTGTTGCAGCCGTCGGTGAGCTGTCAAGGCGGTTGCTTCCCCATATTCACACGAGTAGTTAGCTTACATCAACAGACCGCGTCGTTGGCTTGGTCGTGAGCCATCGTAGCAACCATGTCAAATATCCTCGTCGCAAACTAGTCACAACAAAGCACATATCCCGTTGCGAAATGCCAAGCCAGCGAGCTGCTTGAAGCACTGCATGCAACGCAGCACACTTCATTTTCGACCCGAGGCAACAACATGTCCAGAGAACCCATCGTGCTTGACGTGGGCGGCACGCTCTTCAAGACGTCGAGAACGACACTGCTCTCGGCGGTGGGCTCGTGCTTCGACAACATCTCGTCCGGCGCCTGGCGGCCCGAGAGCGATGGTACGCTTGCACCGCGCTCGCACAATGATCCAGTATGACTGGTAGGTACCTACTTTTTGGACGCGGATCCGACGTACTTTGGCCGTGTGCTCAACCACCTCCGCTGCGAAGCATCGCTGCACGCAGGCTTGCAGCCATGGGAAGTGACGGAAGTCGACCGACTCCGCACATCACTGGGTCTCGACAGTGCTGGGGCGACGCCCACGCCCACATGGGACCATCCCACTTGCGGCGCGGGTCTTCGGGTGTCGGCCATGCAGATTTCGACCCACGGTGATCGTACGTCAATGGGCTTTGCACGAACGAGTCGCCCCTTCGACCAGTTTTGCGTGCGTTTGACAGCACGCGGCGGCGGGAGTGACGTGGCCCTCGGCTTTGGAGCGATCTACCCATTTGGTCTCGGCCGTATTGCGATACAGTACTGCATGTTTGCGACGTGCATTGACGTTCTGCGCATCAATCGAAGAAAGACGACACCCCTCGGTATAAGTCATGATGTCACCATCCCGGACAAGGACATCTTTCCGCCCGACGTCGATCTTCTCGTGACGTGGCACCGCCAGAGTCATACACTGACGATCACATGCGAAGCTGCAGCCGTCAACTTTTCCAAAGCATTTCCCCATGGCTACGGATACGCGCTGTATCCAGTCGTAGGGCTCTTGCCTGGAAGCAGCTCGTTTGCAGGCTGCATATATGAGCACTCCATGGTGTGGCCGCACCAAAAGAGCCTCGACATTCAGGCTCGCTTGGTGCCAATGCTGGCGTCCCTCCCGTAATTACGACGTGCCAACAAGATTGCTGTGTCAAGCCACTCGGAAGATCTTTCTACAACAAGTTCACTCGGCGTTTGCAACGCTGCAGGACCCTAACCTAAATCAAAGTGCTCGTTGTTGTGCGTTGTTGCTAGAGCCAGCAACATAACCCTACAGTATAAGGATACATCAGTATGGCACTCTAAAGGCACATGCACGTTGCTATCGTCATACGCGGTTGGCGTTGGACAAAAGCAAAACGATCGGTGTTCCGAGGCTTCTCTGAACCGAAACCAAATTTCACTTTTGACTGGACACAGTAGCAGATGAGTAGCGCACCAATTGTCCTCGATGTCGGCGGGACGCGCTTCAAGACGTCGTGGGCGACACTGCGCTCGGTACCTGGCTCGCGCTTTGATGCGATCGCGTCCGGCCAATGGCTGCCCGAAAGCGACGGTACGCGCGTCATCGCTAGTATGCCCTCTCAGCACTCGGATGGTCTGCGTAGGAAGCTTCTTTTTGGATCTAGACCCAAAGTACTTTGACCGTGTCCTCAACCACCTCCGCTGCGGAGCGTCGCTGTACGCAGGCCTCCAGGCGTGGGAAAGGACAGAGGTCGACCGCCTCCGCACGTGCTTGCACCTCGTCTTTCCAAGCCCGGCAAGCATTCCATCGTGGGACTATGTGAGCTGCGGCGCAGGGCTCGAGATCACGGGCCATGAGCGTGTACTGGCCGTGCACCACAAAGTACCGTCGATGCGCTTTGCACGTGGCACGAGCCCGTGCGACCAGTTCTGCGTGCATTTGACTGCGAACGGCAGTGTGAGCGATGTGGCGTTGGGCTTTACGACCATCGAGGGCTTTGAGCCGCAGTACGAGAAAGTGCAGTACGGCATGGTCGCGCACTGCTGGCACCACCAACGCGTCACGCGGGACGAGGTCCGAGGCGCGTGCTTCCAGGCCAACAACCCGCACAGCGACAGCTTCCCACCCGACATGGACCTGCTCGTGACGTGGCACCGCCAGAGCCACACGCTATCGATCACGTGTGATGCTGCGGACGTGAGCTTTTCCATCATCTTTCCAGCGCCAAGCGCGACGCTGCAGCTGTACCCGGTGGTTGGCCTCTTGCCCGTGCGAACGTCGTCGGTCAGTGACATGCACGCGGTCCACGGACCCAAGCCCGTCCACAACACGAGCATTGAAGCTCGCTTGGTGCCCCTGCCCGAGTCTACCGCATAGCTACAAGAATCGTACGCACCGTCAAAGCACGCCGCCTTGCGATTCCTGGCATTGAATATCTTCCGGTTACGTAGCTAATGCGCGTGAAATATTTCCCATAAAATGCGTAAGAACAAGAAACACGCCACTTTACGGATACTTACACATTTGGTCGTGATGGAGATGCGGCATCAGCAGCACCGTGCTGGCCAGCCACGACCTCTGGACGACGATCGCCGCCATCTTCCAGGATGGCGTCTACGAAGACCTGTTGCCAATCGCTGGTGTACTCCGCTGGCGCCACTGGCCCTGGATAGGGCGGGGCGCATTGCGCGCCTTCCTCACGTCGACGCCAGACCCTAAGCGAATGATGGCACTGCCGACACGAGCTGTTTACCGACAGCCTTCTGCACGAGTTGGCGCGTTAAGGCCACTCTGCGGCACTCCAGTGGCTTCATGCCCAGCGCCCATCGCCTGAGTACCGACACAGCTCGTCGACGACGTCGCCCCACGTGGGCAACTCGCAACCCTCGCCATTCTCTTCTCGGCACCTGCGGCGCCAACGCCTCACCCGACGCCATCAACTCGGCGGTGCATGCAGGACGAAGCGACGTGCTGGCCTACTTGCTACAGATGCACCAGCCCAGCACGACCAACCCCATGATGTTTGCAAACGCACATGTCCATCGCGACTGCCTACGACTGTTCTGGTCGCGCCGCTTCCACCCTTGACGCTCCTAGAGTTTGATATCGACGATGCGGTCCTAGCTTGTTTCGTGAAAGCCACGTCACCGGCGAACAACACAAATCTTGCGAGCGTGGTAAAGTGCAGAGCTTCAACGTGCGAAAGCAACATCGACTTTCGTCCTAAATTATAAAGACACGAGTACCTTGGCACGCTTTGGTGCTTCGCCCAGCAGCGCATCCGCGTCAAACGCAATCGCGACGTCGTCCCAGCCGCGCTTCGCCAAGCGGTCTTCGGTCTCGGCCGTCGCCGCCGCCAGCGAGGTTTCAAGCTCGAGGTTCACCGCTGTGAGCTCTTGGATCTGGGCGCGCAGCGTTGCCTCGGCGGCTGCACTGGCGGTCTCTTCGTCAGCGTCCGGAAAAGCCACGGGCCGCGTCGCGAGGCTGCCGTGCAGGATCGCGGCGCAGTTGAAATGGTGCTCTTGCACCCGCCGGAACGCGTGGTGGCGCAGCGCGCGGACGTGGCGCTGCTGCTCGGCCGAGAGACGCATCGGCGGCACGGCTGCGTTGGCGGTCGCTGCGCTGGGCATGCACACGACGCGGGGTAGCGGGACGACGACGGGCTCCAGCGCGTCCATGGTGGCAGGAAATAATAATCCGGTCGGTTGGCCTGGGCCGTATTTTTATTCGCGTATTCGAGTGTTTAAAACAGATGCACACCCTGCATATTGTTGTGTTTTATACGTTTAGCTTTGTTCTTGTATGTAAGGAAGGAAGATCAAAATACACATCGGATTCCATCGAATCCAATAGGCCAGCGACGGTATTAAATTGATATTCCCAGGCCATTCCTTGGAACTCGAGACCGACGGCCATGGCAGCCCCGCTCGCCTTCAACGACGCGGTCGTCCGCAGCTACAGCATCGCGCGCGTCTTCCCCGGCGACGTACGCGCCTTCCTCCACGATACACGTGGCCCATGCGCTTGTGCTCTAGGAAGACGCGGTCATGACGTCCATCGACTTTCATCGCGCCGGCAACGTGGCCGTCACGGCGCGCAGCGATGGCACGATCAATGCCATCAACTGCATCACGGGCACGTACGTTCTACTCGCCTCGCCCACGTCGCATGGTCTCACACGGCGCTACATAGGTCGCACAAGACGATCCTGACCAAGAAGTACGGCGTGGACCTGCTGCGGACGACACACCACCCCGACTGCCTTCTCTGGTCGTCCCAGAACGACGCCAACGACCGTACGCATGTGCTATCTTGATGCGCAATGGCTCATGCCCGCGTGATAGACTCGGTCCGGTACCATTCGCTCTTTGACAACAAATTTCTGCGCTTTTACGCGGGCCATACGGCCAAGTACGACGCCATCCTCCTCTCTCGCAGGTGCTAAGGCGAGTGCTAGGATCACGTCGCTCATGATGCACCCGACAGCCGATGAGTTTTTGACGGCGTCGATGGACGGTACCTTTCGGATATGGGACATTCGCAGCCCGGACGCGCGGGTACCCACAACATATTCCTCTGCCCATGCATCATCTCATCGACGCGCATGGGGTCTAATAGGGCGAGCTCAAGTGCGGCGACGCAGGGCGCACGATCAGCGCCGCCTACGACACGGACGGGCTCGTGTTTGGCGTCTACACGGGCGACGGCATCGTGCGGATGTACGACGCCCGCAACTTTACCGACGTACGTACCTACTTGTCCCTGTTTTGTATGACAATGTTGTCTCATATTCTCGTGGATTAGGGTCCGTTTGCCAAGTTTCCGCTCACGGACGACTCGATCGCGGTCGTCTTGCGCCCGTTGCTCCAGCAGCGCAAGTTCAACGGCAAGCTCGACGTGCTCTCGCTGACGTTTAGCCCGGACCAGCAGCATCTGCTTTTGAGTACGAACGCCGGCGTGCTCATCCAGCTCGATGCGTTTGAAGGCAAGCTGGTACGTCGTCTTAGTGTGATACGACGAAAGATATAAGGTCAATTTGTATCTGTAGAAACGCATTTTTGCGAGCCACTCGAACCTCTCGGGCACGAAGCTCGGCGTCGGGTACTCGCCCGATGGCAAGTTTATTGCGTGCGGCGCCGACGACGGCTCGATCTGCATCTACGACGCGCACTCGGGCGCGGTGACGGTCCCGGCCCTCCAAGGCCACGTCGGCCCTGTCTTTGACTTGCAGTGGAACCCGCAGCGTCACCTTCTCGGCAGCGTCCACGCCAACACGCTCTTTTGGCTCCCGAACCTCTAAGTCGAATGCGATGCCAGCTTTCTTGCAATTGCTTTGGGATGAAAATGGCGATCGTATGCATGGGATCCTGGGAGGCGTGGGACGAGCCCGATGATACATGACCAAGGGTATCTCAAGGGTATATATACCCTTGAGATGACGCAGCGGTCGTGCCATGAACCGTACTCCGACTTGGTAGTATTCTATAGCGGCAGCATCGCTTCCCGTGCAATTCTATCCAAGAAATCCTACTGCGGCATCAACAAAGCCACTTCGTCGAATGCTTTGTCGGGTCTTGTCCGACTCCATTTAAAGGTAGTCGTGGTGGCAGCAAGGTCCCAACCCACTTTGGTGGCACTTGTACGCAGGAAGGAGGGTTGCCAGAACGTGGCCTACGGACAGTTCTACGGTCATGAACCCGCAGCCAAGGAAGAAGCCCCGGACGCCCGGCATCTCGCCGAGAGTGACAGCACCGCGTGGCGTGGTGTCCTCCTGCAATTGAAAACGTTTCGAGCTGCAATTCAGGGTCCGAAATACCGAGATGGATTGAATTGGTGGAGAATCCAAGCCAGGTGCGTCGTCTACGTAACTACTACCAAGGAGTATACTTATGGCCTTGCTACTACTTGCTGTGCGGACATTGTGACGCCAGTACGTCAGCATGAAGCGTGCTTACGACTGTTATGCGTCCTCGCTAGCTGGTCGTTAACGACGTGGCGAGTGGAACCAGCACTCCTTGGCCGCCGTCGTGGACTCCTTGCGATACGCGATCGTCAACTGATGCTGCCGACCATACGCTTCCAGCGCGACGAACTCAAAACGATCTGCTCCGAGGATGCACAGCGCCATGCGTGACGTCGACGCCAGTGCCGCCACCAGTTGCTTCTTGTAATGGAGCGAGAGACCAGACGTGGCAATCAAACACGTGACCCTGTGCGAATTGCGCGTCTTTGCAAGTGCAGCGATGAGGGCGGCGGCGCTCGCCTCGGTCATGATGGGGAGAGAGACGTTGCATGTTGTCCCGCGATGGCTCAGCCAGTGTGGCAGCGCACTCAGGATCATCTCGACTTGATGGTCGGGCGGAAAGTTCTGGTACAAAGAGTCCCAGCCGAGATCGAGATGCACCAGCTTTGGCGACGAGCCAAGCAGCACCGCGAGGCACTTGATGGCCTCGTCCGTGAACGTGGCCTCGTTGATCTCGAGGTGCAATAGCTGACGCAGTGGAGCGAACGCGGACAATACGACCCCATGAAGCGAGAGTTTCGTCAGCGTCGGGAGCTGCTGCAAGACTGGGATGACCGCCGCGACATCGCTGGGATACTGTGACCCCAGCTCCAAGCTTTCGAGGTGCGAGGTCGCAATCTTGGCAGCAAGGGCGGCAGCGTCGCTTTGGTCGAATGGGCAGAGCGTGTCGTCGTACTCGTTCTCCATCGAGTATAATTCCCAGATCGCCAGGTGACGCAGCTGCGGCGGCAGCGGCGGCGACGACGGACTCAAAATCGCGCGCATGAGACTTGAGACACCAGTGAGCTCGAGGGTCTCGAGTGTAGATGACGTGAGCATGACCGTTGCCAGCTCCTTGCCGAGCTCCCATGCAAACTTGGTACACTCCAGCTCAAGATGGCGTGCGGTGGGCAGCGCCAGCCACGCGAGGAGCGTCTCGCAGTCCGACATGAGCGAGACGCTGGACGAACCAACACTGATGCGCTCAACCTGAGGGCAATATGCTGCAATCGCAATCAACGCAGCGTCAAAGGTGCCTTGGTTGAGCATCTCTTCTTGGTTCATGGTCAGCGTAATGAGACCACGGCATACCGAGAGGCTGTCCTGGACGATGGCCGCAAAGTCCAGAGAAGATAGATTTGTGACTTTCAGATCCACGAGGTTGGGTAGCCACTTGCCGAGGACTGTGGGGACACTGATGACGTCGAGATCAACGGAAGCGATCACGGCCGTCGTCGGTGGCAGCTCCGTGGCATGGCAAATGCTCCAATGGTGCTTGCAGAAGCCCAAATCAATCTTCTTCAAGAGAGGAAGCGCCTTCGCGACGACGCTGGGACTGACGTTGTAGGCAGCCTCGAGACTGGCAATGTCGGCCGTGGGCCAGAGTGAAAACTCCGAGTCGAAGGCCAAGAGCGTCCGGAGCGCGTCGAGCGCGTCATCGAGGCTATCATAGGGCGCCGCAGAAAGAAAGGCGAGCGCGTCATCGGCGTCGTCGAGGTAGTGCAGAATCTGCAGCGCGATCGGCGGCAGCGGCCACATTGCCGCTCGGTTGTCGGTCGTCATCGTGTGTCAATCTGAAAATGACATATCCGGATACATATCCGGCTGGCTCACATGCCGAAGGAAAGTTTCTCGAGGCGTGTGCATGAAACGACGTGAAATGCAATTGACGCTTGGTGTCCTGAGGCCAACCGACGGTGGCATGGCTTCCTCGTATACCCAAAATCACTTGGTGTTTAGTAGGCTACTAGCGCGAATATTGGCTTCGTATGTCTAGTACTACAAGGGAATACAACTTCCTCATTCCCTTGGTCTCGATTCTCGATTCACGCCGCACTTGGTGACTGGTTCGAAGGTCTCTTGTCACGATGGAGACGTCGATCTCGTGTGACTTCGAGCGACCAGTTGTGGTTTGCCTTGTCCGAAGCACGCACCTAGTACAATGATGGATCCCACAATTCATCCAACGCGTTACCTTGCGCATCTTGGACCATTTGTGCAGCATGGCTCCGAGAATGAAGCGGCGACGGCATCCCCAAGCCACTAGTATGTATTACTCGCTTAACGGGGGGAATGGAACCAGCAATCCTTGGCCCCGCCAGGGCTAGACTGGCGATACGCGATTCTCAAATGCTGTTGCCGACTATATGAGTCCAGCGCAGCCCTCTCGCTGTCACTTGTATTACCCGAGAACCTCATCGCCATCCGCGACGTGGATCTGAGCGCTGCGACAAGTTGCATCTGGTTTCGAGCGAGCCAACACTGGCGTACAGTACGATCTTGACCTTGTGCTTGTTGCGCGTCCGAGCAAGCGCGGCAGTCCAGGCACGCACACAAGCATCACTGGTGATCGCAAGGTAGACGTCACACGCTGTCCCGCGACAACCCAGCCAGTGTGGTAGCGCACGGAAGATCACTTGGGCTTGGTGGTCTGGAAGCTGGTCCATACCAAGATTGAGATGCTTCAGCTTTGGCGACGAGCACAGCAGCGTTGCGAGCGACGCGACGGCCTCGTCCGAGAATGTCGACCAAGTTAGCTTGAGATGCAAAAGCTGCACCAAAGGCGGAAATGAGGTCAGATGGACATCCTGGAGCACGAGTTTGGTCAGCGTCGGTAGCTGCGGCAAGACGGAGATGACCGCCGTGGCGTCGCAGCGGGTTTCCAGCCGCAACTCCAAGCTTTCGAGGCGCGAGGTCGCAATCTTGGCGGCGAGGTTGGCCATGTCGGCTTCGTCAAGCGCTGGCGGTGGGTCCGTGATTGCATTTTCCTGCTCTTCAATGGCATCGTAGCTGTCGCACATCAAGTAGTCGCAGATCCCCAAGTGACGCAGTTGCCGAGGCAGCGGCGGCGACGATGGACTCAAAATCGCGCGCGTGAAGCCCGGGATTTCAGACAAATCGATTGTCTCGAGCGTACTCGACGTGAGCATGGTCATCGCCAGCTCTGCGCCGAGTTCATCGCGAAAGTCGGTTAGATCCAGCTTGAGATGGCGCGCGGTCGGCAGCGCCAGCCATGCGAGGAGCGTCTTGCAGTCCGACATGCTCAAGAGACTGCACGAACCAAAGCAGAAGCGCTCGACTTGAGGGCACCTTGCGACGACAGCAGCCAGCGCATGGTCAAACGTGCCTTGGCTAAGCCTCTTGTACTGGTCAAAAGTCAATGCACGGAGACGATGGCACTCCGAGAGGTTGTTCTCGGCGATGGGTGCAAAATCCAGGACATAGGAGCTCACGACTTTAAGCTCCTCAAGGTTGGGAAGCCAGTTGCCGAGGGCTGCGCGGACGCTGTTTGGGTTGTGATTGACGCAGGTGCTCACGGCTGTCGTCGGTGGCAGCTCTGTGTTGCGGCAAATGCTCAGCGCAGCGTTCGTGCAGTAGCCGAATTGAACCTTCTTGAACAGCGGAAGCGCCTTCGCGACGACGCTGGGACTGACGTTGTAGGCAGCCTCGAGACTGGCAATGTCGGCCGTGGGCCAGAGTGGCAGCTCCGGGTCCATGGCCAAGAGCGTCCGGAGCGCGTCGAGCGCGTCATCGAGTCTGTCATTGGGCGCCGCAGCAAGAAAAGCGAGCGCGTCATCGGTGTCGTCGAGGTAGTGCAGAATCTGCTGCGCGATCGGCGGCAGCAGCCACATTGCCGCTCCGTGGTTTTTTGCGAAATGGCAATCTCAAAAACGGGACATCCGGATATGCCGCAACATACCGGATGCTGAGGCTCAACGTTCTTGCAAGCGTCCCGTGCTGCTGCGAGTTTTGAAATGAGTCTTCCGTTTTTCGGATTATACACAGGGTCCTATTACCACTAAGGCCTCCCAGGTTCTCTTGTGGAGTTTTATACGCACGTGGGTGGTAGTCCTCGTAGCTCACTCTAGTGGCACCAATAACAAAATGCAGAGTGCTCATGACGGTTTTACTCCATGAACGCGCATCATGAGTTAATCGTCCAACAATGTGGCGAGTGGAACCAGCACTCCTTGGCCGCCGTCGTGGACTCCTTGCGATACGCGATCGTCAACTGATGCTGCCGACCATACGCTTCCAGCGCGACGAACTCAAAACGATCTGCTCCGAGGATGCACAGCGCCATGCGCGACGTCGACGCCAGTGCCGCCACCAGTTGCTTCTTGTAATGGAGCGAGAGACCAGACGTGGCAATCAAACACGTGACCCTGTGCGAATTGCGCGTCTTTGCAAGTGCAGCGATGAGCGCGGTGGCGCTCGCCTCGGTCATGATGGGGAGAGCGACGTTGCATGTTGTCCCGCGATGGCTCAGCCAGTGTGGCAGGGCGCGCAGAATCGTCTCGACTTGGTAGTCGGTCAGCTCGCTGTAACTGAGATCGAGATGCACCAGCTTTGGCGACGAGCCAAGCAGCGTCGCGAGCGATTCGACGGCCTCGTCCGGGAACGTCACGAAGCGCAGCTCGAGATATAAAAGCTGCACCAAAGGCGGAAACGAGGCCAAATGGACCTCCTGGAGTGCGAGTTTGGTCAGCGTCGGGAGCTGCGGCAAGATGTTTACGACCGGTGTGAGATCACTGGGATACTGTGGCCCCAACACCAAGCTCTCAAGGCGCGAGTTCGCAATCTTGGCGGCGAGGGCAGCTACGTCACTATTGCCGAATGTCAACGGAGCATCATAATCATCGTAGAACACGTCGTGCAAAGCGTCGTCGTTGTCCATCGTATAGTCGCAGATCGTCAGGTGCCGCAGTTGCGGCGGCAGCGGCGGCGACGACGGACTCAAAATCGCGCGCGTGAGGTTCGGCGCTTCAGACAACTCGATTGTCTCGAGCGCAGTCGACGGATCAAGCATGGCCGTTGCCAGCTCTGCGCCGAGCTCCACATGAAAGTCGATACAATCCAACGTGAGATGGCGTGCGGTCGGCAGCGCAAGCCACGCGAGAAGCGACGTGCAGTCCGACATGAACGAGAGCTTCGACAATTCGACGCAGATACGCTCGATGTTGGGGCACGTTGCAATGACAGCCGCTAGCACAGCGTCCAAGGTGGCTTGGTCCAGCACCTCGTCCTGGTGGATGGTCAGCGCACGGAGGCCATGGCATGCCGAGAGGTTGTCGTTGGCGAGTGGCGCAAAATCCGGATCGTTTCGACTCACGACTTCGAGGTCCTCGAGGTTGGGAAGCCATTTGCCGAGGGCGGCGCGCAGGCTAGTTGCGTTGTGATTGACGTAGGCGCTCACGGTGGTCGTCGGGGGCAGCTCCGTGTTGCGGCGTATGCTCGTCGAGGCGTCTTCGCAGAAGCCCAAATCAATCTTCTTGAAGAGAGAAAGTGCCATCATAACAACGCTGGGACTGACGTTGTATGCCTTGTCGAGACTGGCAATGTGGGCCGTGGGCCAGAGTGAAAACTCCGAGTCCATGGCCAAGAGCGTCCGGAGCGCGTCGAGCGCGTCATCGAGGCTACAATCGGGCGCCGCCGTAAGAAAGGCGAACGCGTCATCGGCGTCGTCGAGGTAGTGCAGAATCTGCAGCGCGATTGGCGGCAGCAGCCACATTGCCGCTCGGTTGTCGGTCGTCATCTTGTGCTCGCCAAAATGAAATCCGGATGATGGGAAGGTTCCTCGAGTGTTCCTTACGGTGTTTTGGCAGTGAAAAACACGTGAAACGTTCGGTGCGTCAACGCACATTTTACATACCGCTCTATCGCGAATAGCATTTCAAGCGAGCTTCCCTACATGTACCTCGCAGGTACATGCAAGGAAGCTCGCATCGATTGGAATGTGTGCGGCAGCGATCGATCCATTGCGGAAGGTGGCGGATCCCTCGAGAAGCATGAAAAACATCGATCGAGAAATGATTCGCACGCGAGTTTTTCACCTGGTGTGATTGTGCCCATCGAGGCTAGATTAGAAACAAGACGAATGGTACATGTATTGAGATTGTTTCAAGCTACGACAATATGTTGTCACGTCGCTAGTCGGGCAACGTACGTGGCGAGTGAAACCAGCACTGCTCAACCCTGCGCGGATCCTCCTTGCGCATCGCGACCTTGACATGCAGCTGTCGCCCGTACGCTCTCAGCGCGACCTCTTCGAGACGATTGGCTCCGACGATGGAGAGCGCCATCCACGACGTCGATGCTGTCGCCGCCACAAGCTGCCTCTGTGCATCGAGCGAGACACCACTGGTTCTAGTGCAAATCGTGATCTCCACCATGTGCGAATTGCGCGTCTGGGCAAATGCAGCTGCCACGTCATTGGCGCACGCATCGCTCTCCATCGAAAAGTTGACGCGGCACACGGCACCGCGACGGCTCAGCCATTGAGGCAGCGCACGCAAGATCGTCGAGAGTTGGCTGTCGGGCAGCGGTTTGTAAGTGAGATCTAGCTGCTGTAGCTTTGGCGTCGAGCAAAGCAGCGTCGCGAGTAGCTCGATGGCCTCGTTCGAGAACGTCACCGAGGACAAATGGAGATTCAAAAGCGGACGCAGTGGCGGAAACGAGGTCAGATGCACGCTCCGGAGCAAAAGACGGGTCAGCGTTCGGAATACGGACTGAGCACTGCACGCGTGAGACTCGGAACATCCGAGAGCTGGATCATCTCGAGCGCATTCGACGTGAGCATGGCGATCGCCAGCTCGGCACCGGACTCGTCTTCAAAGTCAGTGCCGTTGAGCTCAAGATGCCGACCGGTGTGCAGTGCTAGCCATGCGAGGAGCGCCTTGCAGTCCCAAATGGGCGAGAAGCTGGACGAACCGACGCCGATACGCTCGACCTGCGAGCATGTTGCGACGATAGCCGTCAATGTACGGTCAAACAAGCCTTGGTCCAGCTTTTTCTCTTCCTGGTCCATGGTCAGCGCGCGGAGGCCATGGCATGCCGAGAGGCTGTCCGTGACGACGGCCGCCAGAGCTCGTTCTCGACGTTTAGAGTCGCGAGGTTTGGAAGCCACTTGCCGAGGGCGGCGCGGACGCTATAAACTGCATCGAGATTGATGTTGGCGATCACGGCGGTCGTAGTCGGCAGACCCGTAGCGTCGCAGATGTGCCAGCCGGCCTGGCAACAAATATCCTTCGGCACTCGTCGCGCGGCCGCCCCCGCCAAGACCACCACTTTCGACGGGGCATTCAAAAGTCCCCAAAGCTCGCGCGTGATTCGAGTTTTGGTTTGCCACGCATCGCCCACCGGATACAGCGACTTGCTTTTTTACCAAAAAATGTCACGATGGCGACCTTAGACCTCCAGAAGTTGACATTCAATCGTCGTAGCCTACGACGACGTACATCCCATTTCAACCATGTCGCTAGTAGGTCGTTTTCGTATCGCGTGGCGAGTGGAACCAGGTCTGCTTGGCTGACTGAGGGTGCTCCTTGCGATACACGATCGTCAAATGGTGTTGCAAGCCCCACGCTTCCAGCGCCGCGTCGTCCGTGTGATTTTGGGATGCGCTAAACACTGCCGCCATCCGTGCCGTTGACGCCAGCGCAGCAAGAATACGCATCTTGGCGGCGAGCGAGAGACCGTATGCCGACACTGTGATCTTGACTCCATGGGTGTTGCGCGTCTGAGCCAATGCCGTCGCAAAACCACTGGCACACGCCTCGCTCTTGATTGCAAGGTCGACGCTGCAGGTTATACCCCGACGACTGAGCCATTGCGAGAGCGCGCAAAAGATCGTGTTGGCTTGGTCGTCTGGGAGCTGGTCGTAGCCGAGATCGAGATGCACGAGCTTGGGCGACGAGCAAAGCAGCGCCGCGAGCGACTCGATGGCTTCGTCCGAGAACGTCACCGAGCCCAGCTCCAGATGCAAAAGTTGCATCAGAGGCGGAAACGAGGTCAGAGTCGCCTCCTGGAGCGCAAATTTGGTCAGTGTTGGTATGTGCGGCAAGGCGCAGAGGACGGACGTGGCATCGCATGGAACTCGAAGATACAAATCCAAGCATTCGAGGCGCGAGGTTGCGATCTTGGCGGCAAGCGTGGCCATGTCCGCTTCGTCAACCGCCCGCGGTGGTTCGACGTCATCGTAGTCGTCGTCGTAGGGACTGTCGTCGTCTACCGATATGTAGTCCGAGATCGTCAGGTGACGCAATTGCTGGGGGAGGGGTGGCGACGATGGACTTAAAACCGCACGTACAAGGCGCGGGACGGTGAAGAGCTCGATTGTCTCGAGCGTACTTGACGTGAGCAGGGCCGTTGCCAGCTCTGCGCCGAGCTCCCACTCAAAGTCGGTCGCGTCCAGCAAAAGATGACGGGCGGTGGGCAGCGCCAGCCATGCGAGGAGGGACTTACAGCTCGACATGTGCGAGATTTTGGCGACACTGACGCTGATGTGTGCGACTTGGGGGCAATTTTCCACGACAGCCATCAGCGCAGCGTCCAATACGTCCTGCGTAAGCGCCTCGTCCTGATCTATGGTAAGCGAACAAAGGCGCGGGCACAACGAGAGGTTGTCCATGACGATGGCTGCAAAGTTTTCACAAGATGTACTCGCGATACTGAGATCGACAAGGTTCGGAAGCCACTTGCCGAGGGCTGCGAGGACGGTGGTGGCGTCGTCGAGATCGTCGTCGAGATCGTCGTCGAGATCGACTACAGCGCTCACGACGGTCGTCGGTGGCAGGACCGTGTTGTGGCAAATGCTCGAGCAGTCCTGGCTGCCAGCGACAGTAATCGTCTTGAGCGCTGGAAGCGCTCTCGTGACGACGTTGGGATTGACGTTGTAGGCCTTGTCGAGACGGGCCACGTCGGCCGTGGGCCAGAGTGGCAGCGCCGAGCCCATGGCCAAGAGCGTCTGGAGCGCGCCGAGCGCGTCATCGAGGCTACCGTCCGGTGCTGCAGAAAGGAAAGCGAATGCGTCATCGTCGTCATCGAGGTAGTCCAGAATCTGCAGCGCGATCGGCGGCAGTAGCCACATTGCCGCTCGGTTGTCGGTGGTCATCTTGTGTGCCAATGCAAATGACGCATCCGGATAAATTTCCAGCTGGCGGAAGGTTCCTCGAGTGTTCCTGGAGGCGCTTTATGGTGTTCTGATAGTTTTGCTCGTGTCAAGCCTCGCTCCAGGACATGGCTCCAGGAACAGCTTCCAGGAACCAAGTCAACGACCCTTTCCCCAACCAACCCCGACACCAAGGAGCACAATCCCCGGAAGCACATCAACCCTTTTACGGCAAACACGAATCCAATGATGTCGCGGACACACACTGTACATAGCGGTACGTCGAAGTGCATGAAAGTTGGCACTTGGTTGTTGGGAGTGAGCTGCGTCGCGTGGAATCCATCTCCATTTGCCGAGTGGGAGAGATCGTGCGAAGACGTAGAGGGTCCTGGTGGAGACATTATAGTCTGGATTATCCCAATTTGAAGTCGCCGTTTTGATGATGTCCGACAGAGTTAGCGGTATTACAAAATGGCCTTACAACGACATGTCCGCATGGGCCGTCAACGCCGTGAGCATTTCGTGCAGATCGCGGTGCTTGGCACAGAGGTTCTCGACCTGCGCGGGCGAAATAGCGCACGTCGTGACGGCGCCTTCAATCTCAGCCTTCTCATCTATCGTCAACGTCGTCGCAAAGTAGTGCTGCACCATGAGCGACGCCTGGGTAGCGTCCATGGCGCCCATGTATAGCTGCTCGTCGATGCGGCCAGGGCGAATGAGCGCCGGGTCGAGCTTCTCGGGGTGGTTGGACGTCATGATGAGGATGCGACCCGACATGTCGACGACGCCGTCGAGGACATTGAGGAGGCCGCTGAGGTTGAGCTGGTCGTGGGGCGTAAACTTGTCTTGGGGCTGGGCGAGCGTGATCACCGTGCCACCAAACGACACCGCGGGCTCGACTGTAGCGGCACATTCCTTGCGCGCGTGAACGACCTCGGACGCGCAGTCAATGTCTTCCATCACAAACACCACCTTGTCGTAGCTCAGCTTGACCGGCATGTCTTCGCCCGGCACATTCATGCTTAAATCGAGCATGCAGTCCATGAGCTCTTGGTTCGTCTTGATATTCGCGAGCGAAATGTTGACGATATGGCGCTTCGTGTGCTGCGCGATCGCCTTGATGAGGCTTGTCTTGCCCGTACCCGGTGGCCCGTGGAGCAGAAACCCGAGCTTGTGCGGAAAACCGGGAATGGCATACTTGCCTCTCTTGGCCGTAAACGTGTCGAGGAGATCGAGGAGCGTGGTCTTCGAAGAGAAGAAGAGGCTGTCGAACGTCTTGTGGTCGCTTAACGCGTAGCGCTTGAAGGACGAGAGCGGTACGATGCTTTTCGCCTCGGCGCCCGTCGTCGTTGCCACATGTGTCTGCGCCGCGACATACATGTAGCGCGTTCTGTCTCGGAGCTTCTGCGCGACGATCGCGTCTTGGTACGATGTGAAGGCCGTGTCGACGAATGCGTTGATGCGCGCCGCGCCGTCGGGCGCGAACGACCGAAGCGTGTACGTCACGGTGGTCCATTTCTCGTCGCTGTCCAGCTGCCCGTGACGCTGCGTCGATTCAATCTCGTGGTAGAGTGCAATCTCGGGCGCCACGTCCACCCACTCGCGAAGCGGCGGCCGCGCGTGAATTTCTAGCGTCGTGACGTCCGGGTTGGGCATCAAGTCGCGAATCGACCGTGGCTTCTTGGGTGGCCCCTCGGGCTCGAGCCGAGACACAGCGTTCAAACCGGTGACGAGCTCGAGGCGGGCAGTGCGCTTCGACGCCATGTCGACCGTCGCGCTCACGTAGTATGCGATCGCGCGCTGCAAGAGATGGCTGTGTTCCGTGTCGTTAAAGGTCTCACCATAGGAGCCGATGCGAAACTTGGATTGGATGACGCGGACGACGCGGCGGGGTGACACACCGAGGTACAGTAGGAGCTTGTCGAACGACTCGGCCCACGAGGACGACGACGACTCGGACGCAACAAGGTACGAAAAGAGAACGGGTAGGAGAAGGCAGATGCACGCGTCGACGAGAAAATGGCCCGTGCGTAGCGACGAAGCGAGGCCGACTTGGAGAAGACTGGACGAGTCCATCGTCACGGTTGGTGCGGCTAGTGTTGTTGAGTTTGCAATTGAAAAGTGAGCTCTCGCTGCAAGACCGCGCTGGAGTATCCAACGCAAACCTGTATCCGGTTAGGGATAGAAAGGCGGGCATCCGTAACCGGACATTCGGTGACGAGAATGGCTACTGCAGGCAACAAGAAGCGACAGGCGACCGACTGCACATGCGTATCCGGACACACACATACAGTGGTGTTGCTGCACACCACGTCCATGAAGGACCGTTTCCAAGAAGTGGAAGAGGTTTTCCGCGCAAGGCCGAACAATCTAGAAGACCGGTTCCAAGATCGCACACACTACAAGATCCAAGATCCAGGCGCAGAGCAAGCGAGCTCAAGCCAAATCCAAATTGGTAGTGTCAGTCAAATAGCTAACCCGCCTCGCCCACCACTGGCATGGCGGACATCAACACGGTTGTTGCCCAAAGTAGTTCGGTCTTGATTGAGGAAAAATGGTATTGGGACCCTTGTGCCATAGAGCCAACTCAGTTTCCAGTGGGCTAAAAATAGCCTTCGCAAGGGACCAGCCGCAGACTATTTTTAGACTTGCTGCCAGTCTAAAAATAGATGGGGTCCGAAATCAGATCATGTCCAAGCACACGGACTCGGGTTCGATGTTTCCCAGAGCGTCCGATTGTAGGGGCTGTTCTGTTTCCTGACGGGCGATCATCATTGTCGCTTGCAGTGGACCCAGTCGTGCGACAAAGTTGTCAGTGGGGTGCCTAGGATACAATAATAGTACGTGTAGAACCCAAGAAGACAGTCAATTAGGAATGAATACGAACGCAGTGCATTGACGAGTGCGATAGTGGCATGCGCCAGTAGTTCGTTCTTCGATAAACCTCGTCAGTCAGTGGTGGACCAATCCGAACTTTGTCTCGTTACCGATTGTGCGATGCAAAAACCATTATGTGGCACGCGACGATTGTTGTTGAAGAAATGAATTGTGATTGGAATTTAACGGACAGGCCTCCGTGAAAATCCTTTGGCGCTGGTCTCCGAACGTCCACTTCGACTCGAGATGACTCAAATTGCCAAAAATGCGGTCGCCGAGCCGTACGGATAAATTTATCCGGTGGCCGCGGTAGTTGGCCGAAATTTGCCTGGTCTCCGAACGCACATTCTTGCGTCGACTTACGCTTGGACTGTAAATGGACCGCGCACGTCGTTTTGCGTCCGCGGTGGTGGCAGCCGTGGCCTATGCTGGAGCTGCGCTTGCTGTGGCTCATGGCGTCGTGCGCGAGGACAAGTTCAACATTCTAACCATAATGGAGGTCGAGTTCGATGACATGATTCCCCGACCCTCGCTACAACCAGTGGTTCATCTACAACCTCCGCTGCTCCCAAGCTACGTTTCGCGCTCTTGTGTCCACCCTCCGCGTCTAGGTGTCGCTGCTGTCTGACTTAGCAACGTCGTCTGTCGAAGCCAAGGACTCGCGTTGCAAGCCAGGCTTGTCCGACCAGTACTCCATCATGGTGTCAAAGTGCTTCGGGAGACTCTCTGTCGCAGGTGCGTTGCCGTTTGGCGCCGTGTTCGATGGCTTCGACGTGGACCATGCGGCTCGTAGGCGCTGGAGGCGGCACCGCTGGAGACGGCGTGGCCTGCGGCGTTGCCTGCGGCGTGGGCGGCATCGCGGAGGCAGCCTTCTTGGTGACAGCCTTCTTGGTGGTAGCCTTCTTGGTCACCTTGCGCTGCACAGGCGCCTTCGTCGTGGTGTTTGACGCGCCTCGCGTTGCGCGCGCTGTCATTGTGTCATAAAAACCAAAACTCGCCTCGAAGCGACAAAAGTAGACCCGGGATCGACTTTTGTTCGTCCTCCAACGATGCCATCGGCCGGATAATTTTTCCGTACGGAATTTTTGGCGATTTGAGAGTCATCTCGAGGCGAGTGAACGTTCGGAGACCAGCGCCTTTGGCATCTGATTGGCCAAAACGCCTCCATGACGTGGCAGCGTGTTTGTGCAGTATAAAGAAAGCATGCTATGATGAAGACATCACAGGCATTAACATGTAGTAAACTTATAAAATGTTAACCACCGCTATCCAAATGATTATTGCCTGCCTTGGAGGGCCAGCAAAGGAGGTTGTAAATGCTGAAAATCTTCACCTGCGATGTGCGACGTGTGCGATTCTTCTCCGATTGGGCGCTGATTCGATCGAGGGCGCCTTTTACTTGTTCAAACGCCGCTTGCGCTTCGTTGTGCATTCGATTTGTGCAGGCGCAATGCATCGGTACGGAGGTTGATTCTGTGGTATTGCCGCACCACCAAAGTCGTCATGCTGCCGCAAAGTCAACCTTGGGGAGGTCGAAATCGGTTGGAAGCTCAACGTAGCGTAGACCTTCTTGAGGTTGCGGTAGATCTCGACGTATGGCAGCACACCCGTCACAAGCATCGTCGCGTCGTTGCGCGGGGTCAATAGCGGCGCGAGCGACGCGCGGATCGTGGGGCCCGTGAATAGAATCGACGAGAGAGGCGCGTGCGTCGGAGGCAAGGTCGAGACGAGGTAATCGTAGTGGTACACAAGGCTCGCGAGCAGTAGATGAGTAATACCAACCATGGTCGAGGAGTTGGCGAGGCCGGGAAAGACACGGGCGACCTGCGCTGCAATTGTCGGGTTGTCGACAAAATAAGGAGGCGCAACGGCGAAGTTGGCGCTGTTGATGAGTAGCCTATACATGACGCGTCCCACGAACTGGTCGCCAGCTTCCTCGTACTTGAAGTAACTCTCCATGACGTGGCCGAGCGACCAGCCGCAACGCAAGCACACCGAGACACGACGGATGGCCCACCCGTGGACCCCGAGCGCTGCTCGCGGTCGCTCGCATGCTCGTTTGGCTGGTTGTACACTACGCTCATTGGCAGAAACGCCGCCCTTTTCTTGCGTTTCTTCGGCCTGTGATTGGCCAAGAATTTTAGCGGACAAGCAGCCGCTGAATTCTCTTCACGCGTCGCTTATGCTCGATTCAAAATAATCCATACAAATATCAAGTTATTATATTCCTAGAGAGGAAAATAAAAATCCATGAAAGAGAATTTGACGGCTCCCAGTCCGCTAAAATGACGAAGCCACTGTGCAGCCCAGAGTGCTGTCCGTTAAAAGCATATTAATGAATTGTGATTGGAATTATAAAGATATGGTGGACTTCCTAATGCGCTCGTGAGGCGTGGCTGGTGCGTCAAGCGAGGAGCGTTAGTGGTCGTGATTCGGGATTGTGCGAGGGACCACGTAGCGTGCACACCAAGGGTCGTCTCGGAGAGCGATGAGCGAAGCTTGTCCTCGACAACATCGTTGTGGTTGGAAAACGACTCGCTCAAGATCGTGCTAGTTGTTCTTCGAGGTCGGCGACCTTGTGTGTTCAAGGGCTTGGAAGCTGTGTACATGCGTGTAACCTTGATCGACGAGGGTCTCGATATGCGAGTGGTTTCGCGAGATACTTGAGCTTGCCTGACGCAGGAAGATGTGCGTTATGCCAGAGCGGAAGACGATGATACGCAAGCGGAGCTGGGCGTGGCGAGCCATGCATGGTGTAGACGTGCGAGAACCATTCGATGAGAGCCGATGGGCAACGTGCTGGAAAGCTGGGCGATGCGAGGAGAGCCTTGACTGTCGGGTAGTCCATGCTAGCGTGGAGAAGGTCGCCAAAGGACCCCCACGGTTGGTACGCACGCGACGATTGTCTAGCGATTTACATTACAAGCACATGCTAATAAGATACACCCTGAAAAGATTGGCGACCAGTCGCAAAATTATTTTTTTAGCACCATGATATATGAGTTGCGAAGCCCACTCTGTGGGTCCCAACGTAGTGCCAGGTCCTGTAGTACGGTAGCGACAAGCAGGCGGCCCGGCAAGGCCCTTGCCCTCTAGAATCGTCACACGGACCATGACCTTACAGGCAGCACATTTTTCTTCTATTCTCTAAACATAATCTAGCGCAGTGGATGGAGCGACGTCTTGCCCATTACTGCCCACAAGTATCAAGACAGACACGAGTATGGGGCGACGAGAACAATCGTCGCGCATTTCGCTAAACATGCTTCTCATGACCATCGTTTTGCACAAGTGTGCACGGCTGTGTGCCATCGATACTTTTGCAAGATCGTATAGCGGATGGTGGTTTGATATGCGCTGTTGATAATTTATCAAACTATATAATCTATCAAGCTATCAGCGATGAGTCTCGTTACAGTCGCATGGTTCATTTGAGCTTATTTCACAAAATGAATTGCCGGAGCCTCAACGCCGCAAATGTACACCGACAAACGCATGCGCGGGCGACGTGGTTACAACCCCAGATTACGCAAGAGGTTCTGTCCTTTCTCGATGGCGCGAACGATGCCAGCGCCTTCTTTTCAGCAATGCCGGACGAAGCCCTCGATAACGCGCTCCGGGTCGTTTTGGGTTTCAGCTTCTTCCTTCCGACGTGGCCCATCGCACACGTTCGCGATCTGAATATCCCGTTCAATCGACGACACCAATATCCGTGGTCGACAAAATGCGCGGCATCATGAGACGAGCGCTTCCAGCGTTCCCCCGGATTGATGTCACCTACAGCGCGAACCATCCGGCTATCTACGAGATATGCCAGGCCACACTGCTGCGACCAACCACAAGCGTTCACGCCGAGGTCGACCACGATACGGGACGCGTCCGTGCTGCCTACTGGGCCACGAGCATCCCGCATCTCACGATCTTGAGCGAGTCGTTTCTCAACCACAACGATGTTGTCGAGGACGAGCTTTTGGCGTGCCCGCGCCTTCGTGCGCTCATTATGGAGCAGTTCGATGCAGACAGCCTTATTAACCATGCGCTGGCCGTCGTCATTTCAACATGCCTACTCGAACGTCTAAGTCTACGCTCATATCGCACATCGGTCATGTCGGACGGCACGAGCCTCATTGTGTGGCTAGCACGACCATCAGCGCGACATCTCCAGCTGGAACGCATCGTATTCGACGCCAAGCTCGGCGCAGAGCTGACGAGAACGATACTGACCTGAAAACGCTCAACACGATCGAGCTTGTCGACATCTCGCCCACGGGGTGATGAGCCCGTCGTTGCCACCGCTGCCACGCCAACTGCGCCACTTGACGATGCAGTTTGACAAGTCGACCAATGTGCATAGTGATTTGCCGTGGATGTTTGGCGACGCCGACGTGCCACCAAGATCGCACCATCGAATCTTGCCACGTTCAAGCTGCGCCTCCAGAACCGCTGCGACGTTACGCCGGTGATGAGTGCCTTGGATCTGATCCCGACCTTGACGACGCTTGCGCTCGAGACAGCGCATGTAAGCGTTTCCCACATCTGGTGCAGCTCTGGCATCTAGAGCTACTCGCGGTAACGCACTCGGAAAATGCGATCGCGTCGCTAGCGACGTTGCTCCATGCGTCCCCAAAGCTGATGCATCTCGATCTCGGCCAGCAGCAGCTTGCATACCACCAGGCCGCTCAGATCTTTTACGCGTTGCCACAATCGCTAAGCCATCGAGGGACAACCTGTGAGGGCCGCCTTGGGATCCAAAGCGATGCACATGCCAACGCCTTTGCGACGGCGCTTATGCAGACGCAACACGCGCACGATCAAAATCACGGTTTGGGGTGGTGACCTCTCGCTGAAGGCGCACCAGTATATTGTCGCCGCGCTCGGGTTGACGTCGCGCATGGGCCTGCGCTTCTCGACCACGACAGGATATCTACCGGACGACGAGAAAGTGGCGTTGAGGAGGTACAGCGAACAGAATCGTGTCGAGATCTCGGAGCGGCGACAGCACGACTTAATGGAGTCTTGGTTTCTCTCGCCTTGTGCTTCGACTCGTCCTATTCCTACCGATTAATCTTGCAAACGGCCCATTTTGTCGCTTCATACACGTTTTAACATCGCATTCGACAGCCGGTACGACTATCTATCTATCTATCTATCTATCTATCTATCTATCTATCTATCTATCTATCTATCTATCTATCTATCTATCTATCTATCTATCTATCTATCTATCTATCTATCTATCTAGCTCTCTGCTACTACAGTATCTGTAGTCAAGTCATGAACATGGCTACATGTATACTGTATCGGGGAACTACGGGCTGCGAATGACATTTGCTCTCACTACGTGTGCGTATATTATCTACCAACTTGCTTCACGCTGCATTTTTGAACGAAGTTGCTTTGCACTGGGGACCCAGCGCGCCTGAAATCTCTCGTCATCCACCCCTCGTAATGCAAGGTGCCAGATCCGTCAACTTCAACTTGAGCGAATTCGAGCGGGTGCGCATCCGGATAAACCTGTCGAGAATGCATATCGCGTATTGAGTCTGGATACGCGTGGGGATTTCGGAACAAGCCGGCGACGGGCCGCGATGAACGCGACGAGGTACCCGGAGTCGTACCAGGCGAGTCTCGGTATGACGACGCAGCAGTACGTGTCCATGGTCAAGACCATCTTCCTCGGGCTCTCGGGCGCAGCCCTCGGCGCCTTTGTCCTCGTCCTCTACGGGCTCTGCATGAAGCGCCCGACGTGGTGGTACGGCATCCTCGTACGCTGGCTGCGCATCTCGGACCCGGATGCGACAACGTCCGCGATCTTCCAGCGCTCCAACGCGGTCGCCGTGCACCGCCGCCAGTCGAGCAATCCGCTAAGCATGTCGCTTGTCGAGTGGCGGCAGTTCCAGGAGCAGCAGGAGACGCCGCCGCTGCGCGGGAAGGAGCTCACGCCGCCCTACTACCCGATCTCGGCCTTGAACAGCAGCGTTGGCACCGAGCGCCCGTCAAGCTCCCACGACAGCCACGACGCCGCCGGCTACGACGCGGCTACGCTCCGGTCGGTCTAAGCCCTCGCGTGCGACGACCTATTTATTCCAGCCGACGCAACCCCCTTTGTCTTCATTTAGACGCGTAACCACATCATGTACCCTCGTCTCCACGGATTCTTGGCCTCGCGCATGCATGCGTCCAGCACCGCCATCACGCTGGTCGCTGCGGCAGCTCATTCTGTCTGGTGGTCTGGCATGTGTGGATTGTTGGGGCAACTGCAACGATAGCAAGATGACACATGTCCGGTAACTGCGCTGTATCCGGTTCCTCACCAATTCACCACGACGGTGAAAACACGCGATCGCCTTTCACGCGTTTAACGTCGCCCGAGGACAGCTTCACGCGGTCACTTCTCATCGTTCCTTGCTTCGCGTCCTAGCGTATAATATATATATATTATATACCCGGCGCTCGCCTGAGGGTAGATTGCACGCCACAGCGCAATGCCATACCGGTACTGCAGCGGCTCCGAGCTTGTCTGCCTCCGCAAATTGTTTCACACCAGCATCGTTTCCCACATGATATTTTCACGGGTGTTTCCCACATATCATTTCTATATGGCTGAGGTCAAGCGTGCACGGGCAGAGGCTTCGCCATGGCTGCTGCCACCCATCGTGCTGCAGGTCGTACACTGCCTCGATGCGACAGACGATGTGCTCGCCTTTCTTCGCGCAGTGCCAAGCAGCGCCCGCGACGAGGCCCTCGACGCGCTCGCAACGCTTCTGACCGAGGACGCCGACCTGTGGCCGGTCGCCGCCGCTGCCGACTTGAACGGCATGGATGTCGCGACCGTGACAAGGGCGCTGCCAGCCTTCCGACAGCTTGCGGTCGATCAAAGTAGCGATGTGCTGAATCGCTGCCGGAACACGCTGCTTCTATTGACAACCGCCGGTCATGCGATCGTCGACTACCCTTTCGACCTGCAATCGAGCTTGGGCCACTGGGCACGGAACGTCGTCGGCCTGACGATCCGTGTGGACGAAGTGCCTGTCGACGCAGGTGTTTTGCAGCAGCAACTCGCAACCTGCAAGGATCTCCGAGCGCTGACGTCGTTTGGCGTCAAGTGGCGTGGCCCCGAGGTCAATCAAGAGCAGCTGGACGGCGTCATGACTGCCATCACGGCCTTGTGCCCCAACATCAGCGATCTACGCTTCACAGCGGCCGCGTCTGCTACGTTGGAGAGTTGTGAGAGCCTCCGCGAGTGGCTTGGTCAACCCCGTGCGCAGCAGTTTGACCTCAACGGCATCAACTTTTTCCCGGCTGCCGCCAAGACCTTGGCACATGCGCTGCTCGCAGCACCTATGCTTCATACGATCAAGCTCGAAGACTCGTCCATGGTGCTTGGGTCCTTTCTTGACGGGTCGCATGCACTGCCACCCCGTCAACTACGCGACATGACGATCCAAGTTTGGGACAACTGGGACCGCGCAACATTCCCTTCGACGCTGCGGTCGCTCAAGCTCTTGATTGTGACCCTCCGACACTTTCCGCTGCAACTGCCCGAACTCGAGCGTCTTCAACTGCGCTATGTAGACATGACGGACGACTCAGTCGCCGATCTCGCGGCGTTCCTTGCAGCAACGACAACGCTGCACCAACTCGACCTTGCGTACACCTACATGAACGACGATCGACTCAAACCGATTCTCAACGCTCTCCCGACGTGGCTGGATCGCCAGCGAAGAGCTTGCTACGTACGCCTGGATGCGATGGACGTGACGGCAGCGGCCCTCCCCACTGTCTTGGCTCAGATACGCAACACGCACGAGGTGCAGATAGAGCTGTGCGGCGCAGACAACCTTGAGCTGGCAGTGGGCCAGCGCATCGTCGCCGCGCTTGGGGCGACGTCGCAGATCAAGCTGCGTTTTGCGAACGAGGTGTGGGCACCCGACGATGTCAAGGCCGCCTCGCCGCACGTCCAGTACACGAATGGCTGGTTTCTTTCACCCCGCGCGCCATCATCCTAAAGACGTACTAGTACTAGGATATTGCATTGTTGTATAACTTTTTGAATAGAAAAAGATATGGCGTCAACCATAGAGTGAGGGTATACCACAGTAGTAGGACGTGGCTACAATCGACGATGAAATAATGGTTCACGAAATGAACTGATAGTACACGTAGCAATAGATGACCTTTTCGCCGCCACAGACCAGCGCTGCTCTCGTCAACGAAGCTGCATTCGAACCAAATGCGCCAAGCTCGACATCTTGACACGCTGTACTCATTTGACATTTGGCACTTTAAGACGACATCTATTGCCTGATCCTTATTGGCGATGAGGAGCGAGTGTTTTATTGAAGTGGATTGTGTTTCGTAGAAGCAACCATCGGCGCCGTCCTCGATGGCCTTTCCAAGGTGTCCGGTGTACTCGTAGTGGTTGGAAATGGTATTTGTACGGACGAGTGAGTGCAGGGGGCAAGTGCACTGACATGACATGCCCGGTAGCAGGTTTCCGGAATCCGGATACTCACCGGTGCGGTGGGGGCATTGCAGTTTCCACATGTCGAATGCGCTGCCCAACAACATCTTCATGGGCAAGTCCATGGCCGCACATCTCGTCTTTGTATATGGCACACAGGCTTGCGCTCGCTTTTGCATGCCGCTGGAGCGCTCCTGCCTCCGTGATTCGTTTTACACCAACTCTATTTCACCCATGGTACCTTTCTTTTTCCCGTTCGTTTCGCACATATCGTATCTTTCAGTTCGTATGGCTGACGCCAAGCGTGCACTGGCAGAGGCTTCGCCGTGGCTGCTGCCACCCATCGTGCTGCAGGTCGTCCACTGCCTCGACGCGACAGACCATGTGCTCGCCTTTCTTCACGCAGTGCCAAGCAGCGCCCGCGACAAGGCCCTCGACGCGCTCGCGACGCTTCTGACCGAGGACGCCAACCTGTGGCCGGTCGCCGCCGTTGCCGACTTGAACGACATGGATGTCGCAACCGTGACAAGGGCGCTGCCAGCCTTCCGACAGCTTGCGGTCGACCGACGTAGCGATGTGTCGAACCGCTGCCGGAGCACGCTGCTTCCATTGACAACCGCCGTGCACGCGACCGTCCATTACCCTATCATCCTGCTGTAGATATCCCACGCGTATGTTGGATCTGACATACATACCAATACGATTTGTGCTCGATGATGCACGCAATAGATCGACACTGGCGTTGCCTTTCGCGCCAGCTTGGCCAAGGCACGACTTTGTACAAAACAAGCGCCACGGACGACGACTCGATTGTGGCAACGGCGCTTCGCGAGATGCTCATCGCCCAAGGTAGCACCATTGGCCATGGCCTGTCGCTAGCACCGACGGTGTCCGTGTCGAGCGACGTCCGATCCATTGTGGGCAGCTGGGCACCGAACGTCGCGAGTCTTACGATCGTCGTCATCGACGAGCCACTGGATTGCAGTGTTTTGCAGGACGAGCTTGCAGCGTCTGACCTCACGTCGCTCAAGTCGGTTTATGTCGAGTGGGACGAAGAGGTCGACGACGAACAGTGGGATCGCGCGGTCGCAGCGATCATGGCCTCGCGCCCCCATCTCTGTCATCTGGGTCTCAACACCGATGTCGATTCGGAACTGGAGAGCTGCGAGAGCGCAGTGGCATCGCCTTTGAGCCACGGATGTGGCGCATGCACTGCTCCCGTCGACGACACTCGATACGATCCAGTTTTTGGCGCTCCAAACATCCTCGAGTCTTTTTGCAGGCGTTTTCGAGTCGTCGCGTGCGGCGCCGCCGCCGCAGCTGCATTGTACAGTGAAGGCTGGTGATTACGTCAACCTGGCGCCATGAGCCACGGACAAAACAGCTGTTTTTATTGGAATTTTGCTGCGCCGCCAGTCCTTGCTTGCCGACACGTTGACTTGCATGTGGATGACCTCAGAGCCGAAGCGCGCGCGGGTCGAGGCAGCGCCATGGATGCTGCCGCCGATCGTCCTTCACATGGTCCGCTGCTTGGAGACGACGAAGGAGGTGCTGGCCTTTCTGCACGCGCTGCCGTCCGACGCCTGCGACGAGCCTCTCGAAGCGCTCGTGATGCTCTTGACCCACGAACCAGGCATGTGGCCGGACGTGGTGATGGGCGACGTGCCTGAATCCTACATCCCGATCAAGGCGCTGCCGGCGCTCCGCGCGCTGCACTGCGCCGCCGATGACGATTTCAATTATGGCGGGGCCACTTTTTGCGCACGCACGCCGCTGCCACCGACGATAGACGTCTACGTCAGCATCATGGACGTGCGCTACCTTCGATCCTCATGTGACACCTGGCTCGCCAACGTCGTCGACCTCACGACCGCTCGCAGTGACGAGGATGCGCAGGATCTGCAGCAGCAACTCGGTGCTTGCCCGCGACTCACGGCGCTCACCATCGAGTGGCAGACCGAGATGAGCCAAAACGAGCTCGACGACGTCATGGCGGCCATTGCTGCCTCGTGCCCCGGCCTCTCGGCTCTCGGTCTTTCTACTTGCAGTTCCTCGATCTTGGAGAGCTGCGAGAGCCTTCTCAAGTGGCTCGCACGACCGATTGCGAAGAGCTTCAAGCTCAGTTACATGCACTTTCCAAAGCTCCAAGCCGATGCATTGATGCAGGCACTGTCCTCGTCGCCGTCGCTCGAATCCATCAAGCTCCAAAGTGATCTAACGCGTGGCAAGTCGATTGTGCGTCCGTCGGCGCTGTGGCAGACCCCACACTTGCGGCACTTGACGATCGACGCCCACAACATCAACACCACCCACATCATCAGTTGGGACGATACGACGTGTCTTGCCTTCCCGCCGACGTTGCGGTCGTTCCGGGTGTACAATACGCAGATGGCCAACTTTCCGCCGCTGCCCGAGCTTCAGAGTCTCACCTTGGGCAACACGTCGAGCTGATGAGCAACGCAGTGAAGGGTCTCTGCGCGCTGCTGCTGGCGACGACATCGCTCTCCACTGTCGATCTCTCGTTCATCAAGCCCAACAATTATTCCACCCACAACGTCGACGCTCTCCCGCGCTGGCTGAGTCGCCAACGACACGAGTGCGTCGTGTTCCTTGGTCCAACGGATGCTTACGAAGCGCACGTCGCCGCTGTCATCGCCCAGACGCGCAACACGCACAATGTCTCGATACATTTGAGAGACGTCCTCAATCTCGCGGCGTGCAAACGCCTCGTGACGGCCCTTGACGCCGCGTCCCACATGAGTTTGCGTTTGAGAAGCGCCATGGCTACCAGTACGATGATGACGATGTCGAGCCACACGCGACGCTGCACAACGTAAGCTTTGATGGCTGGTGCTTTGTCTCGCCACCGCCGACGCAGAATGCCTCGTCGTACTCAGATTACAAATGAAGCTTTTGTCGGTGATCTAAACTGCTTATGTGGGTTCATGCAACGACTTGGAACCCAGTTTTTGTCGTTGGAAATACTTGAATACAATGGAGATGACAACCAGAACGAAGGTGTCGGACGTGTTTGTCGATTGCGTGGAATCGGGCATCGTTCATATGTTGCCACCGATCAGGCTGCAGGTTGTCCATAGCCTCGAGTACGCTTCGCCATCAATACAAACACGTGCCTGCTAGCTCCCCCGCTTTCCTATTGCCCATACTTGACACCACGTTCGCATGACTCGTCCTTGTTACTATCAACAGCAGCCTACATGTCGGTCCGCGCGGGCCACGAGCTCGTCACCGAGTCGTCCGACCACACCGTCTCTGTCGTTTTGGTCGTTGCAAGGGCGCCCGCATAGTACTTGGTCCAGAGCTCGGCAGCGACCGCGACCGGATCATCGACTCCGTGCGTCGGGTAGACTTTAGTGTCGTAGAGCCACTTGTGCTCAAAGGCACGCAGGAGGTCGTTTATCGCGGCGTCGTCGACCGGACGTTTGGCAGCGAATGCAGCGACGACTGCCTGGAGCCAGAGATGCCACCGCCCAAGGTAGTAGTCGCCAACGACACCGGCCCACTCTTTCCGCGCATAGTCGTTGAGAATGTCGTTGAGGCTCCATGTCGTGATTTGCACGCGCGCTTCAAACTCAAAGTACGCCGCGTCGCCCGATGCCTGGAGCCGCTTGGCGTCCGCAATCCAGCGGCCGAGGAGGAAGTCTGGGTGTGTCGCCAGGACCCGGTCGCAGTCCCACATCAAGGTCAGAATCGCATTGGCCTGGGCTCGCAGCACCGGGACCGTCGTCGTCGTCGGCGCGTGGTACAGGTCGAGAAACGTCTCGTAGTACGTGCTCATGAGGTCGCTCAGACCTTGCCGGGCCACATCGACGAGGTCGTGGGTGAAGGCGTCGGTGGTCGCGAGCCCGGGCTTGGCCGTCGCAGCATCAAGCAGCTGGCGCCACGCGTCGCGCACCGGCTCGCCCCGCACTTTCAAATGGCGCAGCACGGGGCGGTACGCGAGCATGTTGAAGCGAGGTCGGAACGTCATGAGGTTGTTGTGCTTGTCGCGACCGGAGTAGACGGCAGCGGTCAGCGACGTCCAGGCGGCTTGCGCGTGCGGCGACGCCACGTGGTACCGGCTACGCACGTACCTCGTCACGTAGCTCGACACGTTCAGCGGCGTCGACTGCCAGTTCATGTCGAGGCTGAGGTCGTACACGACGTAGTTTTGGAAAATGCCTTCCATCGTGAGCCCGAGACCGACCATGGTCCCATTGCTCTGCGCTTTCGCTGCAATGGGCGCCGATGCAAGGTGTGGGAGGTTGCCGTGTAGCCCGAGGTTGCCGCCAAAGGTGTGCAAGACGCAGAAGACCCAGTCCTTCCCATAGTAGTTTTTGGTGGCGCATAGAACGGAGCTTCCTCACTACAGAGCATTCGAATCATCATCCACATGGAAGAGAGAGCACACCTATTGAGATCCAGTACGAGCATGCGGTGGTTTGGGACACCGGCGAGGTACGCTTGCACCTTGTCCTGCGTCCAGTAATCGCGCTTCGAGATGAAGAGCCACGCTTGCATGAGCCAGACAGCGTTTGGGTCGACCGCCAGCATCGACTCGATGACCGCGTTGGACGAGGCGCGGAGATACGCGTGGTCCGACGTGTGCGGCAAGAGCTCGTTGTATGTATCCGCAGAGTACAGCGACGACGTGTAGCCGCCGTAGAGCGTTTGCTGCGTCGTCAAAAAGGCCTTGCCGACCGCGCGGTAGAGCGGGTCGGTCGGGTCGAGCATGTACACGCACGTGTAGTTGCGGTCAAAGCCGGCCCACTGGTCCGACTGCCGCATGCTCGCCGATGGGTACAAGGTGCGCATCTCGTCCGGGACATGGCCGGCAAACGCTGGCAGCGCCGGCAGCATGCCAAATTCACGGTATCGGCTGAGAAGCTTCAGCTGCAGCGCGTGCTGGGCGTCGATAAAGTGCTGCGGTAGGCGACCGAGCGGGCTCCAGTCGCCGCGGATGTTGCCCATGCGCTCCCACGCGAGATAGGCCGCGCCGCCAAGGAACCGATCAAGGCCTTGCGACGAGACGTGGAACAGTTTGAACGTCTCTTGCCACGTCTTTTCTTGGCCCGTGATCGCGAGCGGCATGTTGATGCCGTTGAGGACCATCCAGTCGACGTGCGTCTCCCACTGCGTCCAGTCCCACGCCCACATCGAGTACGAGTGCGTGCAAATGTTG